AATCCCACGATAAATCCGATACCAAACAGCCCCTTAGTGTTCAGTTGTTCTGCTCTACATCGATGGCCGCTGTCATAGCGGATGTGTCTCTTGATCCCATTGTAGAGAAGCTCATCAGCGTTGGCATCCGTTACCTGAAAGATCAAGTGAGATGGCAGACAGGCATGAAGGAGGAGCTGGAAAAGCCGAAAGAGAATCTCCCCCAGATCCAAGCTGTCGTCCAATTTGCTTCTAGCCAAGAGCAGATCACAGAACAAAACCCGGCTCTTAACAAATGGCTATGGAAGCTACGAGATGCCATTGATGATGCAGATGACGTGTTTAATGAGCTGGAGTATACGGAACTTGAAAAACAGGTGACCAAAAATAAGAAGCTGAGAAGGGCGCGTTCCATCGTGAAATACATGAAGAAAAGACTTGGCAAAATTGTCCAACGTGCTCTCAAAATTGATCCCACCTTGAAGCCACTGGAGGAGGCTGTGAAGAAACTTCATAAAGTTTCAACAACTGGTGTTGCTTCTTTCCTTGTTCTTATAAAAGATGCAAAAGCAGGAGCATCACGAGCAGCAGCTTGAGCTGTTCAGAGCGCGTGAAATGAGATCCTCGCCTAAATATGATCTCATCGGTCGAGGCAAGGAGAAGGAGTTTGTTATGAACTGGCTGAAGAATCCATCAAATCACGAACATCAAGCTCTTGTTCATGGAACTGATTTGGACAGAAATAAAATTTATCTTCTATCTATAGTGGGCCATGGTGGTATGGGGAAGACAACTCTCTTGCAACATGTTTATAATGATGAAATTACAAAAGAATTTGATCTTAAAATGTGGGTTTGTGTTTCCAACAACTTTGATGTGAAAAACGTCATTGCAGATATGTTGGAATCTCTTAAGAAGGAGATGTAATGGACACACTTGATGCACTTCACAGGCGTCTCGAGGAGGAGGTGAGGTCCAAAAAGTTCTTACATGTGTTGGATGATATTTGGGAGGAGGATGCAGAGAAGGATAAAAACAAATGGGAGGATGTGCTTGCTCCTCTAGCTTTGGGGGGTTTTGGTAGTAAGATTATGGTAACAACTTGAACGGACTCAGTTGCACTGATGTTTGAAAAGGTAATTAAAAAGAAGAAAGAAATAGTTAAATTAGAGGGCCTAGAGGAAGATGAGTGTTTGCAGATCCTCAACTGATGTAGTGGATCGTCGGAAGATGCGACCTGCAAGAAGGATCTGGGGTTTTCCCAATCCAGGGAAAGAAGAGAAAGAGAAAGCTCAAAGGCTTCAAAGGCTAATATATTTCATTCAATGCCTCAAAACCTTACATTAGCTACTATTTAAAGAGGAAGATAGAACTATCTAGAGCAAGGAGGTAAACTAGTCCCTAAGAAAAATAAGAGCTAAGATGTTCCTACATCATTCTCCCCTTGCGTAAAAAGAGCTCGACTCCGTTCGAGGCTCACTAATTAGAAGGGAGGTAGAGTGGCAAACAAATTCCGGGATCAAAGACTTTGAATGCAGACTTCAAAATTAGTACATGAAGAGGCTTTTCCCACTCCAAATGAGGATGTTCAGCTTTGGAATCATTGCAGTGAACTAGCATTTTAATTTGCCAATGGGTTGGTGAATAAGAGTTCTTGGCAAGTAAACAATACGTCCTGAAGTCATCACCATGCCCTACTATAGATAGAAAAGAAATGTTTCTGTACAATTCAGTTATTGGATGCTCATTTGAATTGGCTTCCTGAATCTCCTCAAACAGTTTGATTTCTTTTGCAATGCATTTATGAATCCCACGCCCATCTATCATCACACTGTAGCAACCCAATTCCTTTTGATTCCATCTGCAAAAGAGATTGTAAGACTTATCTATATTTTTGCACTTTTTAGCATCAGCCCTCACAACAGAATCCATATGCTTTTGTAGGTTAACATCCCTGCCATACTCATCTAACTAAACAGGTAAGCTTGAAATTTCTGGGCCAGTTGTCAGGGAAGCCTGAGCTTCAATGGTCGCTGCAGCCATAGAAGCAGAACTAGAGCCTCTATCTAGAACAGAACATGCCGCACTTACTGCAGCCTCTAACCCAACATTCTTATCAGTAATATCAGCAACATTACATCGAGCAGATTGTGAGCAGGGCAGATAATCGGCTTTGTCTGTATACTGCACCTCAGTCATTTGCACACCTACAATGAAAATGTTCTCAGAGGTTGACATCATTTCTATTACCTCATTTTTTGGAAGCACCACTCCCTGTCTCGCAGCTTCGAGAGCAAGTTGCCTGCGTTCTTTGATACACACATTGCCAGCTCTTAACTCCCCATAATGCTGCTTCGCCAGATTTCCCAATAGAATCGGAGCAACAGATGCGAGTGTTGCATCTCGCATCTCAGAGTCCAAAAGAACAGACGATGGGAGATCGGGTTTGGTTTGGTAATCGAGCTCCCCGGCACCTTCGCTGGTTGCTTCAGGGTCGGCACTGAAGTCACGTTGATGGACGGGTCTGTCTGTGATACTGGAGATTGACAGCGGTTCTCTGTCTGAGCAGGCGGAATCTGGTCGTGGAGAGACGATTATGGACGCGATGCGAATGAACTTGCCTGGTTGAAGATAAATGCGGCGGGCAGGATATTTGAAGTTAAATGCGGGTTTCGGGGGCGCCGGAGTGTACTCTCACGGCCTGGTAACAGAGTGGGAATCATGCTGATGTCGGTCCATTGAATCTCGGCTCAGACGATGTGGGCCTGGAGCGTAGGTCACCGTGAACGGCGAGCGGCGGGCTGTTGGTTGATTGCGAAGGTAGAAAATCTGATCGGGAAGTCCGAGTTCAACACCTGGAGCAAATCGCGAGGCATGAGGATGGGATGTGGAGTGTGGCCTGGAGACGCATGAGTGATTTAGGGTCGGGGCTGAGATCACGCTGGTCGCGTGGGTGAATCTACGGCTGGGGTTGCGGAAGCCTTAGTCGCGGCTGCTGTTGGCATTTCCAGATCTGCGGCAGTTGTGGCTGCGGGCTCTGGTCGGCGGGGGCCTATCGGCTGCTCGGGGTGCGGACGGATGGGGCGGCGTGAGACGGGGGCTTCCGTCTGTGTGGGCGGTGATGAGGATCTGGTTCGGGACATGGTGAATTGATTTCTTCATAGAATCGATCAGCGACCAACAGGATGCGTTGGTGGTTGGTTGTTCGTGCGTGTTGGAAGAAACAGGAGCGAAGAGGCGGTTAGGTGCCGACTGTCATTAGTTTCTCACGAATGCATGATTTACATAAATCACCCATCTCGATCAAGTGATTGCAAACTTGAGCTACCAAAGGGGTTCATGGTTCGATCGTAACGTCACCGCATTCTTCTTGTTGCGTCGATGTCGTCGGACGACTCCACCTCTTTCGGTGGTGAATCTTCGTCGACCACTCTTTCGGTCGTCTTCGTCGACCGGCCTTGTTTCGGCTTTCGACGTCATTCACAGCCGACTTCTGCAATCATCGATCTTGCAAGCTCCAGGCTCTGATTACAATGATGTAGCTGGATCGTTCGAAGTGGCGTGCAGAGGATTTGGGTTTTCCCTCAGGAAGAAGAAGAGTCAAGGCTTCAAGGCTATTATTTCATTCATGCCTCAACCTTACTTGCTCTATTTAAGGGGATGAACTTCTAGGCAAGGAGGTAAATTAGTCCCTAAGCACAATAAGAGCTAAGATGTTCCTACATCATCAACTCTCATGTATTTGCTGGTGTAGAGAACCCCTCTGATGATGATCATGAAAATTTACGAGTCATTGCTCGAGATATAGTTAAAAAGCTTTCAAGATCTGCGTTGGCAGCTAAGGTCATTGGTGGTGTTCTAAATTCTCTTGACTTGGATGAATGGCGTTGGAGGGAAGTTCTAGAAAGCAATTTACTGGGTTGGAATTCTATCGATTCCATCTTAAGACTGAGCTATATACTTCTGTCAAAGCATCTACGAAATTGTTTTGCAATTTGTTGTATGTTCCCACAAGATCATATGTTTAATAGAGATGATTTAGTCTGAATGTGGAATGCATTGGGTTTCATTCAGCCGTCTCAAGAAATGATTATGGAGGATATCGGAGGAAGGTATTTTGATGTTTTAGTAAAAAAAAAAATTAATTGACCAGGTCGGAGATGACTACAAGTTGCATGATTTAATACATGAGTCAGCATCTAATTTTTTTGCACAAGAATGCGGAAAACTTGTGGATGAAGAGTCATCTCTCAAAATTTCTGAGACTATTTGACACTTGTCTGTTCAAACTACAAATCCAAACATCTTAAAAAAGATTAGGCAGTTTAAATATTTGCATTCTCTTTTCTTGTCTATAAAGGTTCTAATCAGGATCTTTGCAATGCACTTATTAAAATATCCAAAGCATCGATATGCCTGCGCTTATTTTACATACGTTCTTTTGAATTGGAAATGATACCAAAGGATATTAGATATTCGAAACATCTTCGGTATTTGAAGATCAGAAGAGCTTGTGTCATTGAGCTACAAAGATCTCTACGTAATCTCTATCACTTGCAATACATAATTATCTATAATCAATGGGGATATTCAGATCGACCTCAAGTTGATGATAATTTACTAGGTGACATTAATAACTTTTATAACTTGCATTACGTGAAATTGCCCTGGAATTGTATTTCATTGATACGTGGGATTGGGAAGCTAAAGTATCTTCAAGAACTGAATGAATTTGATCTTAGAGATGTGAGTGGTTATAGAATTGGGGAGCTGGAGAATATGAATGATCTTTGCAAGTTAGGAATCGGTTGCCTTGAAAAGGTTACGGATGCGGAGGAAGCTTGTAGTGCCAAATTATGTGTGAAGAGGAGGCTCACATATTTGACCTTATGTTGGAGAAGTGCTGATTCATGGAACATGGCTTTATATGAGAACGTGCTCGACAACCTTCAACCACCAAATTGTCTAAGGAATCTGAGCATAAAGGGTTACTGGGGTGCAAGGTCTGCAATATGGATGAACAATGTCAATAAGATCTTCAATCTAGAGAAAATCAATTTGACAGGTTGCATGGAGTGGGAAACTCTTCCACCTTTCTGGCAACTTCCTTTCCTCAAGTCACTGAAACTTTGTAACATGCCGAAAGTAAAATTGCTCGAATGTAGATTTAATGGGAATCTTAAATACCACGCCTTTCCATTTCTAGAGGTGCTACATATTGAAAAATCAGAAGCATTAGAGGCTTGGTTTGAGGCATGAGTAGCTGCTGAAGATGGATGTTTGTTTCCTTGCTTAATTAAACTGGTGCTAATTAACTGCCCGAAGTTGAAAGAGTTGCCCTCTTTGCCTCCTAAGCTCGAGAGCTTTAGGATAGAATTTATGAAGTGGAAGACTTTGAATTTTTGTAGCAATTCAAATCCTATTCCCCTTGAATCATTATGGGTCCTGCACTGTCCAAACATTACATCTCTTCCTCTGGCTGACGAAATAGCAAGACTTACGGCACTAAGACATTTGATAATTGAAAATTTCCCCAATCTGATCTCTCTCGGAGAAATGCCAACCACTAATAATTGTCATCTCATGCTCAGCGATCTTAGCATAAGGGATCCATTGGTGCTAAAGGAGCCACTGAGAAGAATCACCTCCTTAAAGGGGCTGACTATTGAGTGTAATGATGAGCTGGTTTCATTTCTAAATGAGACGGAGCAGTGGTTTCTGAAAGATAGGTCTTCTCTTTGTGACCTGGAATTTTCAAATCTCGAATCCTTAGAGTCTCTCCCTTCCTCCTTGGAAAGCTTATCTTCACTTCAGCATCTATTTATTTTGAATTACCGAACCTTCCTCCCTCTTTGAAAAGTCTAACAATTGGGGATTGTCATCCAGACTTAAAAGGAGCGTTATCGAGAGGATGGAAGCTCCGATCGGCACAAGATTGCTCGCATTCCTCATATCTATATTCAGCCCTGATAAAAGGTTCAACTACTTTAATGAAAATTTCAAAATACATAAGCATACTTCTTTCTTCTTATCTTATTTATTGATATGAAATGTGAAGAATGCAATCTCAGCATTAACCATTTTGTATATGTCGTGGATCATTCATAATTGAAATCTAATTATGAATCTTTTTAATTTTTTATTGATTTCTGAAATGAAATAATTATTGAATTATTATTTAATTTTTTTTATGTTTTTTATAGAAGCAAATAAAATTTTAAGCATCAGTCATCTTTAATCTATGAATTCTATTTCTTTTTGCACTTTCATCAACCATCCAATTAATTTTCTTTATTAATTTTTTTTATTTTTTAGACACATGCTACGTCATTAGTACTGTTTAATGAAGGTGTTGGAAGCTAAGGGAAAAAAAAAACTTAATTTTCATCGAGGTGTTTTTTATAGCTATTAAATCTATTTTGAGATAAATATATTATCAAATTTCATCGAGTTATCTGATTTGGCTTAAATTTCTTATATTCTCTTATTTAAAATAATTTATTGTTAGCTTTTAAATTTATTGTCATAGATAAAACTTACAATTATTAACTTTTTTGTTGATAGTACAACGTGAAGAGAAGATACATATTGAAGATTGTTGCAGGCTAGAATATACGCGGCAATAGAGTTAGAATTTTACGTCTTAGCATTGCACGAATATCCAGCTCATACATAGATAACACAAGATTTTTATAAGGAAAACCTTGAAAAAGAAAAAAAACCACAGGGCCTGGCCCAGTTGAAATGATTCCACTAGAACCTGAGTAGGTTACAGTGGGCTGACTCGCCTCCAAGGACTGACTCGAGGAACATCGCTTTAGATGAGAACGTGCTCGACAACCTTCAGCCACCAAAATGTCTAAGGAATCTGAGCATAATGTACTACAGGGGTGCAAGGTCCGCAATATGGATGAACAATGTCAATCGGATCTTCAATCTAGAGAAAATCATATTGCAAAATTGCAGTGAGTGGGAAACTCTTCCTCCTTTCGGGCAACTTCCCTTCCTCAAGTCTTTAGAACTTTCCATTGCTAGAGGTGTTAAAAATTGGAGGATTAAAAGCATTAGAGGATTGGTTTGAGGCAGGAGTAGCTGCTAAAGATGGATGTTTGTTTCCTTGCTTAATTGAATTATATCTATGTGACTGCCCGAAGTTGAAAGAGTTTCCCTCTTTGCCTTCTAAGCTCAAGAGCTTGAAGATACGACTTACGTGGTGGAAGACTTTGAATTTTTGTAGCAATTCAAATCCTGTTCCCCTTGAAACATTAGAGGTCAGTCGCTGTCCGAACATTACATCTCTTCCTCTGGCTGATGAAATAGCAAGTCTTGCAGCACTAAGATACTTGGAAATTAGAGATTGCCCAAATCTGATCTCCCTGGGAAGATATCAAGAAGTGGAAACCACTAATAATTGCCATCTCAAGCTCAGCGATCTCTGGATAAGTGATCCATCGGTGTTGCTAATGGAGCCATTGAGAAGTATCGCCTCCATAAAAATGCTGAATATTTGGGGGAATGATGAGGTGGTTTCATTTCCAAATGGGGCGGAGCAGTGGTTTCTGAAAGTTAGGTCTTCTCTTTCTGAGCTGCAATTTTCATCTCTCAAATCCTTAGAGTCTCTCCCTTCCTCCTTGGAAATAAAGCTTTTATTCACTTCAGACACTATCTATTTGGGATGTTCCTATGCTTCGGGGGAATTACCGAACCTTCCTCCCAATTTACAACATCTATCAATTGAGAATTTTCATCCAGAGTTACATAAGCGCTATCGCTATCGAGAGGATAGAGGTCCCGATCGGCAAAAGATTGCTCGCATTCCGAATATCGATATTTATACATAAGAAAACATTTTTTCTTCTTATCTTATCTTATTTGTTTGATAAGAAATGTGAAGGATATAATTTCAGCATTAATCAGTTTGTATCACTTGACCGATGTACTCATTTTTGTATAAATATATTCTTCTTTTAATATTTCGTTATATGTGTCGCTAGATTTTTTTTTATTTTGATAATTTCTTTGGTTCCTTTATATATAAATATATTCTTCTTTGAATTCTAAATAGCTGTGTTAAAATTCATTTCTTTATTTTTTTTTAATTATTGATTTGTCGAAATGAAGTAATCATTGAATTATTGTTTCATTTTGATTTTATATTTTTGAGTTTGTAAAAATAAAATGAATTTTGAATGATCATGCTATCTCATTAGTATTTTTTAATAAAGGTGTCAAATTTCATTGAGATGATTTTTATAGCTATTAAATTTATCTTGAGATAAATATATTATCAAATTTGGCTCTCATTTTATTATTGGTTGAATATAAATCTGCAAGCTAGATGGATGGTTGCTTGCTTTGTTTTTTTTTTTCCTTAGCGGATTTTGGTTAATGTCGAGTTATTACTGCTAGCAAAGTTTATGAAATAGCCTTTGTTTTGGTTGGATATTTACTAATGGTTGTATGTTAATTATTAAGACTTGTTCGCCTAAACCCTCTCTACTACAGATCTTCTAATGATTTTTTTTAAAAATTGCTACAGAACTTTTGATTTTATCATCTTAGATAAAAATTACAATTATTAACTTGGTTGTTGATAGTACGTACAACACAGAGAAAGAGATATATATTAAAGATTATTGATTGCAAATTTTATTTCATTTTTAATAATGAACTTGTTATTTATAATGTAAGATATTAATTATATTGTTGGATGTTAAATTTTATACTTAATTGTTTATTGTAATTAAAATTTTTAATAACAAATTCTTTTATTTTTATGCGTTATTTTAAAAATTTTGAAATTTAATATTTTTAACTATTTCAAACTAATTCAAACTTAACACTAGTCGCATCAAAATAAATGAATAAAAAACAAACATTTAGGGGCTGTTTGGCAACAAGTGGGATTTAGCTTTTGTGGGATTTAATAAATCCTGTAAATCCGGATTTAGTAAATCCGAAATGTGTTAAATCTTGAAAACTGTTTGGTATGCCAAATGTTAAATCCTGTTAAATCCTGAGAAACTCTTTGGCAATATATTTCAGGATTTATAGCAGTTAGTGATTTAAATGTGAAGAAAATAATTATAACTTAAAAATAAATTTATAATTAAAAATAAAAAAATATAATGTGTTATAATTTTAATAATATGTTTAGTACAAATTACTCATTAACTAATTTACACAATTAATTATATATTTAATAATAGATATATTAAGTTATATTAATTAATCTAATTATATTAATATTTAATTAGTAATTATACAATTAAGTTAAATTATATAATTAATTTATGCACTAATTATACAATTAATTATTTAATTAATTAACTTAATTATTA